TGAGTCAACCCTGAGCCGGTGAGATTTGAACAGCCGAACTGCAGAACTGCAATCAGCTGAAGTAGCTTGCAGTGCTGCATTTAACCACTGCGCCACCTCGGCTCAGTTATAAAGGAAACTTAGTGGATTTTATAATTTGTAACCCATCATCAAATCATCCTTCAATTTATTTGGTTCAGTCTCCTTTCCCTTCAACTGTCCCTTATAATTTGTGTTAACTTTCTTTATCATTTTTTTCTACCAACTTTGAACTTTAAAAAAATATTGATATTGTTTTATCAGATTCATCTGCGTGACCATTGTTAGTATTAATATTTTCTCATCAGTCATCAAGTATGAGTCCCTTTGCACCCACAAGAGATTGAAGTCCAACCCATTTTGAATTCCGTTGACTCTGATCTGCCACCTATTACCTTTGACTGCTAATAGTTCAGATTTTGTAGAGAATATTAGCATACAATAAGCCTATATTCATCTGAACTGTCTGGACTCCTGATTTTCTGTACTTGAAAAATAACCTTTGTTCAGTTTTAATTCCAACACAATACAAATATTATATCTAACTCCAAGTGTCTTTGCAGCAAGCCAGATCTAAGTACTTTTTCTTTACAATGCCTTATTTTTACAAAACCACTTTCTGAACTATCCACATTTACCACCATTTTTAATGTGACCTGACATTCTCCTCACTCTCCCACCAAATCATTAATTTTATAATTGGTCATCTAAGAGAGCTCTTATACTTTCTAGATATAAAAATGTCACAGTTCATGTGACTTGTTCTTTATACATGTTACTTTTGTCAATTATAATTACTTAAAAATAAATAATAGCAATCAAAAAGGTTTGCTGACAATTTTATGAATTCTGGAGAATTTTGGGATTTGTCCTATAAGTAATTTGGCAATGTAAACATATTAAAACACAATAACCTTTGATATTGTGAAGCCTAAGAAAAGCAAAATGACAACATCACATCTTTATCCAATAATCCATAATTATGACAATCCATAAAGGTTCCATATTTCCTGTTATAAAAAAATATTTTAAGTAAAAAGATTATGAGTAGAATGAACTCAAAGATGGAATGCAAATTCTATTATATTAAAAGAAGAAAAATTAAAATGGTACAAATGTTTAAAAAATGAGATGAAATCATGACTTCACTGGGTAACATTGGATAAGCCAATTGCCATTTGCCATGTATAGTTGTTTCTTCAAATCAGAGCCATATGGTTTTGTGGGGTACAAATTCTCCACCTAATCTACACAATATAGTGCTTGCAGTTACCATTTACTAAAAGTAGAAACTTTTCCATTATATATACATATATCTCCTGTCTGCTTAACTGGATAATATAATTTCATTCAATTCTAGAGTTTCACATAAAGCAAAACGTTCCTTCAGAGCTCTTTCACTTTTTCATATTTATTCTACATGATATTCAGCACATCACTGAAGTTTGTATAAATTAGAGGGTAATCATGAATGCTAGGCACAAAATCTCTATGTTGTAAAATATTATTTGGTAACATTTTCATGTACTTTTAACCATCATACTATATAGTAACGTAAGGAAGCAAGTAAGCAAATAAATAAATAATAAATAAATAAATAAATACATGTACCTGTAATTTTATCTCTTACAAGCTTGCAGGATTCTATTTCACCAATGCTCCCAAAAAGGCTCCTGAACTCTTCTTGGGTCATGTTCTGGGGTAAGTAGTTGACTATGAGGTTGGTTTTGCTGTCATCTGTAGCTGCCCCTGTCTGCATAGGAGAAGGGCAATTTCGGCTGTTGCTGGCAGGACCATTGGTTGTATTGGATGTAGGGCCATTTGACACCTGAGGCTCCATGGTGCTAATTATCTATGCAGAAAGAAAAGGTGGAAAATATGCTTTCAATCCTCAGAGATACAGTTTCTATTTTAAAAACATACTTACAAGTGAACAAGTAGGTAGCATTCATAGCCAATTTAAGAAGAGCTTTTTTTTAAAAAAAAATCAGCTTGGTCCTTCTGCTATTGTTATAAAGTAGGTCATCCTAGTCTTTGGCAGAAAGCACATAGTAAGCTGCAGAGACAAATACAACCTCCCCTTCTTTTTGTTAATACAAAGCTAAATTTTCTTTTCATGATGCATTTGAATGTACAAATGTAACTAGGATCCTAAGTATTAATAATTGTGATTAAAATTACAAATCTATTTAAGAGGAAGAGGTCCATGAAGAGATAAAAGCTGACAAAGTAAACATATATTATCTGTTTAATTACTGTGACACCTAATATTGTAACAGGTTTATTTGGGCCATTCAAACTAAGAAAGCTATTAATGTGATATTATGAGTTTGAAGCAACAGCCTTTTAGTCTTATCAAGGACACTTATTTACATCAAGAAAGCATCTATATTCTCGGCCACCAAAGATTTCTTTTGATTCTTTATTAAATAGAACTGAAACTGCAAATCATAGAATCTAAGTTTTAGAGCGGAAGGCAACATTTCACCCCTCAAATCCAGCCCCCGTTTGGTGCAGAAAACCAAATCAAAGTATCCCAGAAATAGCTGTTTTGCTCTATTTAAACACTACTAGTGAGGGATGACTTAGCATCTCTTTGGGTAATTGATTTCACATCTGAATTGCTGTTACTGTTGTAAGCATTTTCTTTACAACTTTCAATGGTAAGCTGACATCCTGTAACTTAAATCTATCATTTTGTGTTTTATATTCTGAAGTGATATATATTTTCTATGCAACAGCTTTTCAGAATTAGAAGAATGTTGTCATCTCTCCACTCAGTCTTCTCAAAGCTAAAGGTTCTCATGTCCTTCAATCTATCTTCAAAATCTTTGTTTCTATTGTAGTTCCCTGATCATCTTTTTTTCATTTCTGTAATTTTATTTGTCTTCTAGTATATTAGTTATCCCACCCACTTGGTTTCACCATTAAATATGATAAGCATTCCTTCCACCTCTTATTTAATTCATTTACAAAAATGTTGAAGATTGTAGTATCTCATTTAGCCTAATGAGAAAACTGTTGATCCCTTTTCACATAAGATTTTCAGTTCAACTATATATCCATTTAAATGTCATCCTATGTAGTCCAAACATAACTAATTTGCTAATGAAAAAGTCATGGGACTATTAAATGTTTTGTTGAAGTCAAGACACATTGCCTCTACACTACTCCCACAATTTATCGGAGAAATTATCAGATTAAAAAAAGTCATAAAATTAATATGGCAAGACTTGTTATAAGCTAGCATTTATAAATAAACCAATATTACACAATTAAACTTAAATTAACACAATTAAGCTTCATGTGTTGAATTACAAAAACAATGTGATTTTTACAAGATTCAGAAACAATAAGTAACAAGACTTAATAAACTATTGTTCTTTTAAGATTATATATGTTTTAAAACACACAGTGGTCTTTATGCAATTCAAAAGGGTAAAGTTTCTTATTGTAATTTATACCTATGACATACAATACAACATGTAAAGTTAAAGATTGCTTAGGACTGTTATAGTTTTCTACAGCTGCCTTTATTCAAAGACAACCAACACTTTTAGTACTTATTTCTTCCTCACCTGCTGTGGAAAAAAAATTCTTATAGCAGTAGATACATAACAAGATATGCTACTGTTATTATTTATTTATTTAAAATCATTTTGGGCCTAGCAAGCCTCCCTGAAGCCTCCTGAGACCAAAAACAGGGTGAGGGGAGACGCTACATCCCCACGCATGAGTGCACATCTCCTGCATGCATGGTAGAGACCCGAAAATCAACTGGATGGCAGAAGGCACACACGTATGCGCGGTGGAGTGGAACTAGGCAATGGTTCACGTGCCTGCGAGGTTTGCCATCACGGTTCCAGAGGAAGTTATATAGGAGGACAGTAGGAGTGGGTACACTACTTATCCAAATGAAGCTGCATAATTACCAATAGTGGTTTTGTTCTGTGCCTAAGCTAAAACCCAGACTGAAAAAAAATCCAGAATGGCAAAGTAATAGCCAGCACGATTGGCATGCATCCGTCAGAAGCTCGTCATGATTTTCAAACTTAAAACTTTAGACATATGCATACACACAATCCTAAAAGCATTTCTATACTAATTCTTTTAAGAACCTCACATTTTTCAAAAACTTGATTACTTCTCCAAAAACTGGATTACATGAATCTCAACTGAATTAGCATGATGACTGGAAAAGGATAACCTTAACTACATTATGGAGAACATCTGGACCCTACTTGGGGAAATACAGGTAGTCCTCAAGAAATCACAGGCCCCTTAACGACACTTCAAAGACAACTGACATCCCCAAAAGTACATATGACTATTTCAAAGTAATAGTAGGGAGACTCCATGTGGATTAATTTAGACTATGAGGTTGTAATGGAATTCATTCAACGTCTTCTCATGTTCTCCTTTCTCCCTTAGCTCCACCATTACAACCATGTACTCTGATACACTGGCTCTAAGACCAAACCAATCATAGGGGCAGCATGGTCATGTTTGGGCCAACTGATCATATGGCCTAGACAGAAAAAAGGATTGTTTTTATCTACTTATCATGCCAGCATCTATTGCTCAAATACGTTGCTATACTTTTCCTTCCTTCCTTCTTTTTTTTTTGTAAAGATTCTTGTGAAGAATCTGGACTTTTTGAAAACTTTTTTTAAAAAGCAAGTGGAATGTTTTACATTTGAAAATGCAAGCGTATTCTGCTTGATCTGCTCTAATGATGTGATGTGCCTGTTCATTCTTTAGTGCACTATTAACACATCAACCAATTTTTTTTACAAAGGCGTACTTAAACTTTTGGTTTGGCCTATTTGTTGCAATTTTTCTTCAGTGTTAAAAAAGGATTGTTTTGCTGAGCAAGATATGCCCTTGACTCAAAATATTTTTTTTGTTATTTATGCTGAGCACTGAACACTGTAAAATAATTGCTCCTCCTTCTTGTTTGGTTTCAGTGGCCAGTGAAGAAAAGAGGGTAAATTTGCAAGTGCACTTTAAAATTAAGGTAAATGGAGACAAGTTTAGACATAGCCATGAGACCTAGACAAAGTTTATTAAAGCATTTTGAAAGTACACTTTTGAAATTAATTAAATATGAATTATTTAGCATCAAGTCCTTCTGACTCAGAAGAGGTAACTGACCAAAATGTTTTGTGTAAGAGATAAAAAAATTAATAGTTTGTCTCTTTGCACTTTCCCTTTATACCACCTTAATCTCCAAGGGCATGGTCAGTTTAAGAAGGGTTAAAGTTACCCAATGTCCATCTAGATCAGGGATCTGCAACCTTAAACACTCAAAGAGCCATTTGGACCAGTTTCCCACAGAAAACACCGGGAACCCCAAAACCTGAGTGGCTGTGGCCAACTCAAGGTCACTCACTCCCACCCAGTCACAACTCCTCCCTTAGCCACACCTATCCAGCCAGCCATTAAGGCAGAGAACAAGTTGTTAAAAAACATCCAGAACCACAAAACCCTTTTGACATCTCTCTGTATCTCTCTCCCCGCTCTGTATCTCTGTGTCTATGTCTCTTTCTCCCGCCCTTTGTGTATGTGTGTGCATCTCTTCCTCTCTTGCCCCCTTTATCTATCTCTCCACTTCCTCTCTCTGTATCTCTGTCTCTCTCCCCTTTCTGCATCTCTCTATTTCTGTCTTCCTCGCCCTATCTTTCCCGTATCTCCCCATCTCTCTCCTCCCCCTCTCCCCCCTCTCTGTATCTGTGTCTTTGTCTCTCTGCCTCCCTCCCTCTGTATCTCTGTCTCTCTCCCCCCCTTCTATCTCCCACATCTCTGTGTATCTCTGTCTTTCTCTGTGTTTCTCCTTGGCTGGCTGTGATCGTGAGAGAAGAAGGTCGGCCAAAGGGAAGCCTCCATCATGGCTCACACTCGCTCCTCAGCAAGGCCAGATTTCCAAACAATTGCCAAGAAGAAAGAAAAGGACTAGCGAAGAGCCCCAAGGAAAGCTTGCCAGGTTGGCCCAACCTTGGCTTGTGAGAGTGAGAGATATGGGGGGGGGGGGGAAACCACTGATATGTGAGTGTCATTGGCGAGGGCACTCCAGCTTTCTCAGAGCCTGATCCCTGAAATGGGTGTGCGAGATTCAGCATGGCCAGCCCCCTTTTCCCACTGTCCTGAGCTTCTTTACTCCTCCAGTGGAGCGGTGCCGCTGCTGGCTTTCATTGAAAAGCATCCTCCAGGCGGTGATAGTCCCACATGCAAGTTTTAAAGCCACGGCTAGATGCTACGGGCCCATCCCCCTTTCCATCGTTCCCTCCTCCCAGATCCCATTCCCATCCCGCCAGCTCTCATGTTAGTGAAGCCACCGTTGGTCGTGGCTCGGTCAGTATCTCATGGCGGAGAGCAGGTTGTGTGTCCCCCTAAGCGACCGAGGCATGCTCAGCACCAACATGGCTGGAAGAAGCTCCAGCATGAGTGAGGCGCCGGAGAATCAGCTCCAGCAGCTTTTCCATTCCCACCGTTGCCCTTATCTTCTCAAGCCAGGCAAGGAGTGACGGGAAGGGGAGGGCAAGGGGAGAGGCCAGCTAGTGGTGGGATCACCTGACAGGGAGGCACAGCACAGGGCCCAAAGAACGGCATTTGGCTCCTGAGCCGCAGATTGCAGACACCCAATCTAGATCTTTCTGAGGATTATTCTGAATCCCACTGTTTGTTTTCCCAAAAGATCTGAAACTGTTTTGGATTCTGTTTCAGTCACACCCAGTCTAAGCAAAGCACTTTACATTTTGTTTTCTCCAAGCCATAGGCAACCTGGATCAGGTGGACAAAACTTATGGAACATAATATTATATTTGGAGCTTAAAGCACAGTATTTACTGACCA